GGATTTAGCTTCTAGATTGAGCTTATATGTGAAGGGAATGTACATCACTGTGTGTGGAGCCCTGCAGGAAATGTATGTTAAAGAACCACAGTTACTATGGTAACTGTTCTTTTCCTGCCATCTACCAGCTCCTCAGCTTTTTTGCTACCATTTTGCCTTTTTTCCTCCATGTCTATGGTCTTTCTGTGTGTTCCGCATAAGAGGGAATTCAGTGGATTTCTTGCATCTTCACTACTGCCTTTAACAGAACAGAATGGGAGGCAGTGAGGTAAAAGTTATTTTACCCAGCTCATCAAGATGGTAAGCAAACTGCTCTTCCATACACTGAGATAAAGAGGCAGAAAGATGGATCAGTGGAAGGACTCTGGGAGGAGACAGCTAACTGCCATAAAGGGTGCCAAAGCTGCTCGGGAATAGAGCTCAATTTTGGGGAGATCTAGAAGTTCCACATGTTAACTATTTTTCTCTGTTGTGCTACATGAAATCCCTTCATAGTTTAGACACCGTGCAGTAGGCAGACAGTTGCTCAGCAGGGCTCCTAAACTCTGTAAGAATGGAGTTTTATGCCTGCACAGTTAAAGATCCCCAGATGGCGTCGCTTTGCCTGCTCCCATTCAGCACCTTCTGCCCCTCATGCTAATGCGTGCCTTCAGCTAGTCATCCAGTCTAAAGTCTTCCTTCTGCAGTTATGTTCATTTAGTAGTTCATTTTTAGAATGATTTCAGTCAAACTGAACATTGCCAATGATTTTAAATTGTAAGCTCTTTGAGACATATACTGTGTCTCATTTCTGTGTAAATCACTGTACTGACTTTGGGTGCTGTATATATTGTAAAAAATTGACAATTGTTAACGTTGCTACATAATATCCATTTTGCCACAAAATTTATTCAGCTGAGTAATTTAGGTTTCATGCGCCACATGGTACAGCCTTGTCCAAAATTCACTAGAATCCACTAAAACTCTACTGCAGCCTGTACAGACCTAACCCGATTTGAAAACATTTTTCTTCCATTTCCTCTTTTGGCTTAGTGCTCCCCCTGTTTCTCTCCTTTACCCCCATAGCTGTTCTTCTCTCCTTTCCCCTCTCATTGCTGATTTCTTTTTCTCTTCACCTGAATGGAGCTCAGGATCATGCTCCGTGCCAACTGCCTCTTAGTTTCAGATGGAACCTTTTGCTGAGCATAGCTGAGAGGTGGCTATGGGATGCAGTGCTGAGAGCTGGCCACTTGCACTTAAGTGTATGTCTACATTGCAATTAAAAACCTATGGCTGCCCATGCCAGCTGATTGAGGCTCATGGGGGTTGGGCTAAGGGGCTGTTTAATTGCAGTGTAGACACTCAGGATGGAGCCTGGGCTCCAGGAACCTGTGAGGTGGGAGGTTCCCAGAGCTTGGGCTGCAGCCCCTGCCAGAACATCTATACCGCAATTAAACAGCCCCACAGCCCAAGCCACATGAGCCTGAGTCAGCTGGCATGGGCCAGGCACAAATGTCTAATTACAGTGTAGATATACCATTAAGAGACAACCAAGGGTAAGGAGTGATTAAATTGTTGGGAGAGGTGCTGCTGTTCTCTAAGTACAGCATCATTACTATATTCTGCTGCTTGCTACCATTGCCAATGCTTGTGTCAGATATTCTAACTCTTATATAGTACCAGCCACATTGGGATCATGGGCAACTGTGTTTCTTTAAATATTTGTAGAAGAGCAAAGATCCTTGAGAATTGATGACAGAATCAGTTCTACTTTCAGTGGTTATTACTGTGTTGTTTTCTCTTAATGGGCATAAACCATGTCTAACTGCTTGTGTGTATTCATAATTATGGCTACAATGGGGTCAAATCATTTTATCTTGTATTTAGGATCCCTCCAGGTGACAAAATATAGAAACCTGTGTTTTCATCACCTGTTTTTACTTAAGACTTTGTCAGAAAAAGTTAAAATAATGAGATAAATTGGGATGACATCCCATGTGACTTATATGTTGTTGATTTGGTTCTAACCCAAAGGTGGGCAAACCATGGCCCACGGGCCACATCCGGTCCGCGGGACAGTCCTGCCCAGTCCTTGAGCTTCCGGCCGGGGAGCCTAGCCCCCGGTCCCTCCCCTGCTGTCCCCCCTACGCCGCTGCGCGGGCAGCGCTCTGGGCGGCGGGATTGCGCGCTCCTGCAGGGCAGCGCAGCAGCATGTCTGGCTCCAGCCGGGCGGCACGGCGGCCAGACATGCTGCTCTGAGCAGCATAGTAAGGGGGCCGGGGCTGGGAGGTTGGATAAAGGGGCAGGGGGTCCCGGGGGACAGGGAGCAGGGGGGGTTGGATAGGGGGTAGGATCCCAGGGGCAGTTAGGGGCGGGGGGTCCCGGGAGGGGGCGGTTAGGGGACAAGGAGCAGAGATGTTGGATGGGTCGGAGGTTCTGAGGGGGGCAGTCAGGGGGTGAGAAGTGGGAGGGGTCGAATAGGGGGCAGGGGCCAGGCTGTTTGGTGAGAGGCACAGCCTTCCCTTTCCAGCCATCCATACAGTTTTGCAACCCCAATGTGGCCCTCGGGCCAAAAAGTTTGCCCACCCCGCTCTAACCTATTGCATTAGTGTTTGAATTTGGTTTCTTTCAGTATAGCCAGGGCATCACGTAATATGTGGTTATGCAGCCATGTAAATACCATATAATTTACCTTTTTGCTAAGATGTCACTTAAATCTGTTTATTGTGCAGATCAGCACAAATGAATTTTTTCTGTAATTTTCTGTTCCTCAGCTTATCTGCTTGCGATTTTAGGATCTCCAGGAGAGAGAAATTGTGTAGCCCGACAGAGAAATGGGAAATACAGCAACATGAGGTTCAGAAGGTGCTAGTGCACTATCTTTTGGGGAGCATGGAGAAAGATACAGAAGCATATGGCTGCCATCCTGTGGCTTTAAGGAACAGAACTATTTCACCTACAGTTCATCAAGAGTGGCGCGCTGCTTAGGAGTTATGAATGCAGCTGCTGCCTCCTGCAAGCCTGCCCTACTCCCCACAAGGCTTTGCTTCAGGCCCTTTAACCACCCACCATCTGTCACCCACTCTCCCAATTTAAAAGTTGTAGTCTTTATCAAATGTCTTTGCAATCAGTCAGTGTTGCCTCATGTCTGTACTGCTGTGGTGCATAAAACAGGGATCCTCACCACATAATTTAGGATGAATGTACAAGGAAAGGAGGGACCTTGATTTGGCTTAGTTAATACAGTAGAATAGTCTCATATTTTGAGAAATTTGTCAGGACTCTGAACTTATTTTCTACATAATCTTTAACTAACCTATTCAAATGTATAGTTTTTCATTTAAATACTCTCTTAACAATTGTATTGTTAATTCACTGTCATTTTACTGTAAAGATAAGTTTACTTACTCATCCACAAGTGTATGAAAATATCTAGGATGCATTAACCTGCATCTAATAATAGCAAGCAATTACTTTAGACTCCCTGTGCTTTTTATTAACCTTAATAAATAGTAACAAATTTTTCATTGTTTTGTTTTTTGTTTTTATATATATATATAAAGAATGTAAATCATTCGTAGTTTCATGGTCATAATGTATACCAAGTAATACTTTGCTATTATGCTATCTAGTACTTAATGTAACTAGGAATTTTTAAGTGTATTTGAAATAGCAATTTTAATATAAGCACATGTAAACAAGCAGTTTCATTAGTTGCTGTCATTGTCAGTCAGAATCAAACTGTTCTAGAAGAATATTGTCTTGTCCTGATTGATACAAATGCCACACACCCCATGTTTTCTGCTAAAAGACTTTACCCTACTATCCATATATATATATATAACTTTCTGAGAGGTGACACTGTCATTCTTTTTCCTTCTTGCTGAAAATGGAAAAAAAACAAACTGTTGAAGGTAGTTCCCTTCCATTTGTCAATTCATGCCTTTATCAAAAACGTGGGTGGCCTGATTTTTATTTATTTATTTATCTATTTTAAAATAGCTTTCAGGCCTCATCATATATGTGCATCATATATGTCAGTTGAATGGGTTGTTGGAATTCTGACAGGTGGAAAAGAAAAAATATGCAGTTAAATGTATGCAACAAAAAAAAAAAGTCTGTTCATCATCTCTGATGTAATAGTGCTCCAATACTAATGCCCAGTGTTGCAATAATACGAGGAATGCAAGAAGATAAGGCTGGGATTTAAGATTTCATGGATTGGACCAAACTTAGAGAGTCCTACTGTGTCACACTAACATCTCAGATCCATACACAGGGGTTTGAAATCTAGATCTGAACCCAGATTTTCCCAAAATTAGAGATAGAAAATGATTCAGTCCATCATTATAGGAATAGGTTCAAACTGCAAATTTTAAATATGATGTTTTGTTTTGGACCCATTTCTACTGATAGTGGTTTGACAGGAGTAACAGCTTTTGATCATCTGTCAAATTAGAAGTGCAAATGAAAATAATGTTACTTATCAATTTCTTTGATTTATAAAGGCAACAGATTCAGTTAGCAAGATATTGTATTAATGTTTCATCTTGCTATGTGATTATAATTAATGTATATTGCTATTGATGAATATGGAATTTTAAGGATGAGGTTTGATATTTCTTGTTGTGTGAGTGCAGACATTTAATAATCATGCCTGTACAAAATGATTTTTTGTACAATATAGTAAAAACAGTGCACTTTAGTAATACTGAAGTGTTCCAGTTATATTTTATATTCAGACTTTAATGATACTCTTGATACCTGTCCTAAAGAGAGAATAAATAGAAATAGTAAGTAAACTATTCTATTTCTTGGGGCCAATATACATATCTGTAAAAGTCCTTATTTGTTGAAACAGAGGGAAGAAATATTATGTTTCATAAACATATGTAATTTTCACATTAGTACCTTTGTCACAATGTAGAATATATCCTTCAGAACATTAACATAATTTTTATGAATGCAGATGTTTTTGAATGTTACTTTTTTCTCATTGTTTTGTTTACATTTTTTTGAAGGTTTCCCAATGAGTGGATCATGATGAACATACTTTAGGGACTTGCCATAGTATGGCTGCTTCTCGATCTACTCGTGTTACAAGATCAACAGTGGGGTTAAATGGTTTGGATGAAAACTTTTGTGGTCGAACCTTAAGAAACCGTAGTATCGCTCATCCAGAAGAATTATCTCCTCATTCTCAAGTACGATCAAGATCACCAAAGAAGAGACCAGAGTCTGTGCAAACTCAAAAGGGAAGTAATAGTGGAAGAACTACTGACTTGAAACAGCAAAATGCTAGGGAATCATGGGTGAGCCCTAGAAAGAGAGGACTGTCTACTTCTGAAAAAGATAATGTTGAGAAACAAATTGTGGAAAATTGTGAGAAAAGACAAGCAGAATCTGTATCACCAGTTTTAAAACGAATTAAACGTTGCCTACGTTCAGAAGTAGCAAACAGTTCAGAAGAAGATTTGCCTACTAAAGCAGAAAAGGAATCATTGGAGTGTAAGAGTTCCATATCGGACAATGATGCAGTCTCTGCAGGGACTAAACGAGCTTGTCGATGTCTTATACTGGATGATTGTGACAAAAGGGAAGTTAAAAAGGTGAATGTCTGTGCGGAAGGGTTTAATAATTCTGCAATAGTTGAAGAGCTCACAGGCTATCAGGCTGTCAATGGGGTTGATGAGAGAGAGTCAGATGCCCTAAACTGTGATGATTGTCAGCCTGGTGGGAACACTAAACAGAACAGTGCTGGTTCCTGTATGCCCAAGGAGAAAACAGTAGCAGAAAATGGGAATTCATTTGCCCATTCTTCATTGTTGCTTAATAGCAGCAAGGAGGACAGTGTTATAGACCATTATGTGCCTTGCACAAATTCACCTGAACAGGTAAAGTTAGAGGACCACAAAATAAGTGACTGCTTGCCTGCGGAACCTGTTCATCAGGCAAATGAGCCAGCTACAGGGTCCTTTTCTGAAATCCAGTCATCTTTCTTAAGGGATTCTGAGGAGGAGGTAGATGTGGTGGGAGATAGCAGTGCCTCAAAGGAACAGTGTGCTGAAAACACCAACAGCAACCTGAACGCCGATCATGATAGTACATCAATCTCAGGTGAACCTGAACCACCATCTTCTGTGCTGGAATGTGTTTCAGCTCAAATTACATCTATGTCAGAACTTCAAGAACACAGATATACATTGAGAACTTCACCACGAAGGGCTGCCCCTGCCAAAGGTAGCCCCACTAAAAATAACTCGCCTTGTAGAGAAAATGGGCAGGTTGAGGAAAATAATCTTAGTCTCACTGAAAAGAATATAGCTGCAAGTACTAATAATATCCGTGGATCTCCCATAAACGCTAAAGAAATTATGCAGAGTGAAAAAGTGAGAGGTTGTGACTCTGGAGATTATGTGAGTGATGGACTAAGTAAGCCACCCTCTGAGGCTCGGCTCATTGCTGGATATATATCATCTGCCAAAGAGAGTGCCAACCTGCACACTGCAGAAGATGATGAGGAAGAGCCTGATGTGTATTACTTTGAATCAGATCATGTGGCATTGAAACACAACAAAGAGTATGTGTAACTATGGTAACCATGAATTCTGCTTTTGTTCCTTAGCCAAAAATCTAATTTTCAAAAATTATCCATATATCTTTAAGTAATTCCACAATAATTTAAGTACTTTGATTTCTTAATTGTTTAGCTATTATTCGTTTTCATAAATACTTTAACCTCAATCCTCATTTCCCATATCCTCTCAAAAAGTAACCTTTCATCTATGTAATATGCAGTGTGGTACAGCAATGTGGTTTATACAGTTCTAATAATTTAAGTTTCTAGCAAGAAATTGTTTTTGAAACACACTTCTGTTGTTTTTCCCGCCTAGGGAACTTACAGAAACCAAACCAAAATATTACAGCCTTTAATTTAACTAGAAACATTTTTATTATTTATCATCCTGTCTAACAGTTACAGTACATACAGGTTTATTAAATGGTGATACTACTATACATAGCAGAGTATATAAACAAGTTGCTATGGCATCCATTTTCCAAGCATTGTGGAAGAGATTTAGCTATATTTTTTTCATGTCAATTAACTTGTCATGTTGCTAAATTCCAATGCAACAATTTGAAAACTTACACCAGTGTTGTCATTTGCATCATGTTTTCATCTATGGTGACATTATTTTAGCACAAAAAGTATAGATTGATATTCTAATTACCCTTAGCAAGTATAAACATAATTTGTTTATTATCTGAATAGCTATTAGTAAAACTGAGGTAGTCACAAATATGTAATGTGATGAAAGTCCTTGTAAAGAAAAGGCACTGATTTTTATATAAATATAGTTTATATGGAAAGAATTTGCCCTAAAATGACAGATCAGACCACAACTTTATACCACGCAACAATTTCAAGACCTTTTTAAAAATTGTGTTTGGGTTTTATGTTTTCTTGCTATTTAGTATATTGTCTAAATTTTCTTCTGAGTATTGAAATACCAAAAATATTAAGTGCAGATGAGCTTTGCTTCATATGAACAGACAAACAAAGTTATTGCTAGCTATAAGACTTGACAGAAGCTGTGGTTTCCAGAGATAATGGCACCCCTGGGGCATTATGAGGCACAAGACACAGATGATTGTCTCTAATCCTGCAGAAGTTTGTGTTGTTATGGCTTTTGGAGTTACATTATTTTTATAATGAAATTTCTTCAGTATTGGATATAAGTAAATTGCTTTGATTAGAGAAAGCTGCCAATTAAAGTATACAGTAGTTCAGCTGTGAGGTTTGCATAAATTATCATTAAAAATGATAATGTACATATACTACAGCACTTTCTCAATCCAAGTATTTTTTTTGCTGCTTTCCCGTTGACAGACATTGCATATTGTATAAAATTAAATGTCTGATAAAGGTCAGATGAAATGGAAACTCGATCACTTTCTCTTTTTTAGTTTTTGTTGTTTTTATTTTAAACAAGGTGATCTATTTTAATTTGTCAGTGCGAGGACAGTTTTTCTCTCAGCTCTGTAATTTCTGATTATTAAGAATAGAATGTAACAGTGGGGCAAATTTTCAGATGTGACCTTGGATTTTGCTCTTCCAAAATTAAGCATACACAAAACCCACATTATTGTAGGTGAAATCCACATGTGGATGTAAACATTAGATAATAGTGCATTTAATTTCTCTAGTAGTATGTGCAAATGGGTGTAAACATATATTCCTATACAGTTTAGAGGTTAGTTTGAGGCCACCTGAAAACCTGGACCAGTATGTTAACATCTGCATGTGCACAATTGCTCTTTAAATTTAACTAGTTATTGTTGAGCTTGGCAGGCTGCTTGTGACAGCTGCTTGGAATGGTTTTGAAATTACATATATTTATAGGAACAACAAGGAGTCTGATGACACCTTGTTGTTTTGGTAGATACAGACAAACACAGCTACCCCCTGATTCTTGACATATATTTATAGGCTGATAGTCACTGGTGATTGTTAAGAGGTAATGATCTAGATGCAGAATTTTAAGCAAATATTACAGTTTCTGAAATGTGGAACATTCCATCAGTAGTTATAGCAAGAAAGGGAGACTTTTGCAGTCTTTTATAAATTGTGGTATAAATCAGGAAAGGACTGTGCCCACTTTCCAGGTGGAAAGCACAGTTCCACTGAAATACTATTATTTAATCTGCATTCTTCCTTCTTAAAAAGAATGGGCAAGTCCACACTGACACGCAGTTTGGACTAAGGGGGTGTGAATAGCAGTGTGCACCGAAGTGCTGTGCTGTAACTCCCCTGTGTGGAAGCCGTGCACGTGAACTTAAAAGTCCCTAGTTCACACTAATGTAGTCCTGTTTAAAGAGTTTCCATTATAGCAGGCAAATGCTGTTAGTTCTGTGTCATTTTGGCTTTGCAGAGTATGGTGGTCTTATGTTTAGTAGCTCTACAAAGAGCATAAGCTCTCTCTATCTTACAGCAATTCATGATTAGACATGTCTTTTCTTTGTGGGTGAGTTTTGCTCTTTGTTCGTCTTTTAATTCTTTCTAACAAGTCAATCCAGGCAGCCACTCAAAAGATGACACTTAAATCACTCCATAGATTAGCAAAGAGAAATCAGTGTTTTTTGATACCCATCTGTACCCTAGGCCAGCTCCCACGGGGTGGGGAGGGAGCGCCACCCAGCCCCGTTCCCAGCTCTGCTCTGGCAATCACCCCCCATCAGGCTCCCGGCCTCGCACCCAGCCTCTGCCCCCAACTGTGGCCCCTTGGCCTTGGCTCTGCTCCCAGCTCTGGTCCTAGCCCCCGCCCCGCCCCCTGCTGAGGCCTCAGCCCTCTTATACCTGTCTACGTCCTCTCCTCCCCTCCCCGCCAAGCCGCAGCCCCACTCCCAGCCCTTGTGGTGTGGGCTGTGTGTGTGTGTAGACAGAAGTAAGGGGGGTGTGACCCTTAAAAGTTTGGGGGCCACTGCCTTAAAACAATGTATCATTTGTAAAACTTGCCCAGTCTCTGTCCCTAGTGTTCTCGTAGACCTTAACTGTACAGTTCATAAATCTAAGTTTCATGATGTTTGAGAATGGCTTTATTGTTTTATGCAATATTATCATGGATTGTCATGATAATGAGTTATATCAGAATTCGTGTTATATCGGGTAGCGTTATATCGGGGTAGAGGTGTAATTACAATAACTTCATTTGTAAAATTCTAACAATTACAGTCCTAAATTGAAATATGAAACTGTTAGACTATGCTAAAAAGGCCAACAAAACCCCTTAAGACTTGTTTCCCAGAAAAACAAGGTAATAACATATGTATTGTAGCCTTTTTATGTGAAATTATGATGTTTTAATTTGACAGTGTCCATAAAACATTTTTATGTGAACACGTCTAAGGAAATATGAAAATACTGTAGGAAAATAAATACCACAAAAGTGGGAGGATAGTGGAATATTATTATTTAATATTTATATTGGGTAAAACAGTCTCATCCAGGTCATGGTAAGTGCTGTACAGTCTTATAGTAAATGACAGTCCTTCCTTCAAAGAGTGATTCAGAAAACTATAAACAGTAGTTGTACAGCAGTACAAATAAACAATAACAGGCTGATCTAGGAGTTTATATAATTGTAAAATGTTGGGGTTTTTTTTCCTTTATGTTTCATGTATATATTGTTAGTTCAGTTTTTGATTTTGGTTTTCTTTTGTACAATTTCTGCTCTTACAAGTGCCTCTCTGAAAAAAAATCCATTCTGTATGTAATTTAAAGAGTGTTTATATTTTTCCAGTACAGAATTTTTACATTTTAACACTCTGTTTTCAAAAGTCTTATTTAGTCGTCTTCTTATGTCTTAATACTTGCTAATATATCCCCTTGCTGTCTCCTTGTTAACTTTCATCATTCCCATTAAATTACTTGCCTCAAATTCTCTGTCTTCTCAATTCAGGCTTATTGTTTTAAATATGTGTCTCCCTTTGTCCTGCTTTTCATTTTTCCTTCATTCTCAGTCTCTTTTTTCTTTTTCTTTTTTATTATTATTATTATTATTATTATTTTTGCCTACTTCTCTCCACTTACATTACCTTCCTATGTTTGTCTTGAAATGCTTTGCATTACAGGGACTATAGGGAGGGGAGCTGGAAGTGTCTGCTCAGAACTTTCTTTTGAGAGATTGGATAGTCCCTGGGCCAAATTTGAGTGAGTTCATAATACCTTTATGTATTGCTATACAGCTATGGCCTGAATCCTGAAATCTGAAATCAGTTTTTCAGGGGGACACTTACACTTGCATGGAATCCCACTGAAGTCAGTGGGGTTCTGTATGGGCGCAAGGACCTGTATATGGCAACTAGATTACAGGATACAGGGACCTATATTTTTCCAATAGACAAGTGCTTCCTTGTATCTTTCTGCATACATTTATTATACTTCATAGTTTAAAAATGACATATTCATATATGAGTTTAAAACAAAATAAAAGACAGAGTGTAAAATATTTAATTATATTTCTAAAATCCCTATTTGTTGTCTGTAATGGATTGCTTTGTCAATGTGGAACCCTAATTGAAGCCAGTGGGCTTTGCACAGATACAAGAGTCCACCTGTGGACAAAGAATTGCAGGGTCAGACCTAGATATTTTAAGTTCTAGCATGTTGTGAGCTCCTATGACATATGCGCGTGTGCACACGTATTTTGCCTTACCAGTTATTTCAAGACCCTCTTACAGAGAACCCATTTGAATTATAAATCTATAATGATTTCATGACAAACTGTTCTAATCTTTGCATTTTAAAAATGTAATTAGTTTTCATTAATATATTCACAGATTAAAAACCAGAGAATTCAGAGTTAGGTTAAACTTAAGATTTGGTAATGCACAGATAAAGCATCAAAATACCTTTAATTCCACCTTGAAGTGACACCATGCAGTTATGAGTTGTGCCTAATAGTGTGTAGTTCCAGTTTAGATTATACTGATTTTTATAGACACATTAATTTTTTTCATTATTCCTTTCTTTATGGGGCACACCATCTTTCCTTAGGGAAACTTAACATTACTCTTACT